AAAACGTATAAAAAAAATCTTTAATTAATTGTGTAACGATCTACAAACTCGGGGCACTCGGGACGTTCACCCCTGTTCGTTCTTACCTGTTGTTCCACCCGGGTATCTTACACGGTAAATTACGGTAGTTAATTTTTCAACTAAAATTTAAGTTCAACATGTATGGTCCGAAAACTTAATTTCCAGTAACGTGATAATTAGCCAATAGATTTAGTGTAATATATGCCACCTTTTGTGTTCAACAAAAAGCTTTTCTTGAGCAATTTTGATATACAAACCACCAACTTCTAACACTAATCTAAACACTAAATAAATTGTCACGGCCGAAGCTGGAATTTTACTTTAATATGAAATTTTTAAAAATTACTGGGGTGCATTTTTTGTTTTTTTTAAAGTTAGATTAGGATTTAGGGTATATTTTTATAATAAAAGAGTATAAGTGAATTTTTGTAGGGTTTATAATTTTAATTGTTATATTACTGAAAATTTTTTGGTGTTCTTGGAGTAGTTGTATACATACGATAATGCAACTGTCATAAAATATTGATATTATATTTTAATCACGTGTTTGTCTGCAAGTCACAATTGAGTTGACTTTCACTTGCATCATTAATCAGGATCTTGAATATTCTGGATTTTTGACCATCAAAGAATCAAATTCATATGGGCTAATTTTTTCAGTTGGACCTTTTTTTTAGTCACTCAAACTTATAAAATCTGACCGAAGATCCCTTAAATGATTAATTTTTTATTAGATATTAGACAGTCAATTGACATGTACGTTACTCAAAATTAAAAATTACATATAAGGATTTGCGTCTAACCGATTACCCCACCCTTTAACCGATTACATTTTTCACTAATCAAATCAACAACAAATCGATTACTGTTACGTTTATTTATGCCGACATCGATATACGATATATTAGTCAAATAAAAATCTAACTACTACTGGTCGGCTAATACCCTTTAAATTTTAGGGTACAGAAAAAATTAGCCCAGATGTATCTACCGAGATCGAGATCGAGATAAATTATTAAAATTATTATACCTGAGAAACCTTGAATTATCAGGATCTTACCTTCACATTATGAGTGTCAAAGTTAACAATTTTGCTGTCCATTGAGAATGGAGGTCAGAATGTTCATTGAGGCTCATTGCTAACCCAGGAGCCAAGTTCATGGACTATTGAGATCTATTGAGATTCTGTACATCAAGGTCTTTGTGATAGATCCGAAAGTGATGCTGTATAAATAAACAATGTTCGTAATTTAAAATATTAAATATTCCAAACCTTATGACCTTAAGATCAATTACTCTAAAAACACTTCCCCGACAACTATTTTCCCGACAAATATTTCCCGCCATAACCATTTTCCCGATAACCATTTCCTCGACAACCATTTCCCCGACATGATCATCTCCCAACATGACGTGATTGTTGGGGAAATGGTCATGACGGAGAAGTGATTGTCGGTGAAATGGATGTCGGGAAATTGGTTATGGCGGGAAATATTTTTCGGGAAAATAGTTGTCGGGGAAGTGGTTGTCGAGTAATTAAGTTACATTATATATTTGAGAATCACCAAGAGAAAAGTTTACAAGTACAGCAGTGTATATCACACCGGTAGTTATTTTGATTGGCTAAACTTTGTCTAAATATTGATCGGATGACTATTGAATTCTAAGCCCCTTAAGGCTTTTTTATTTTTACACACACGCTAACCTATATATCTTAAATTCAAACCTTGATTGTCTAGGATGTCTTAGCCTTAAAACCAGTTTGATCTACAAATGAATTTATAGTTTACGGTGCACAAGGTTAAATAAAACGCATCAAAATGATATCGATATCGATAAAAACCAAGAAAAGCGATTAATGAAAAATATTGTTAAGTACTTTAGGTTAAATAAAAATGGTAATTGAGTAGTTTTACATATACTTTGTTCCGCTAAATTTACTTATATATATATATATTATATAAAGATTACGTGCTTATTCCCAACTCACAAAAGCGACAAACTCGACGAAAATTAGGAATGACTTATACGAGAGTTCGGCTTGCAAAAGCCTATGCACTAGAGTGAATATATTTTTCAAGCTTGTCTAAAATTCAGTGACTATATGTGCTAACCGAATTTTTAAATTCAAAGTTGGCTTGTTTGTGTGATTTTCTTATGTATATTTATCGTAGTGGATTCAATGGAACCATTTCACCAGAATTTTTCCTTGGAAAATAAGTCCATACAATATCCGTTCGCTGAACATGAAAGAGTGCCATTCTGGCTCGCCGCTGTGAGTAGGAATTAAATCACTGTCTAAAAAGGAAAATGGCTAATATCATTTTTATCCATTTAGATAATCGTTTTTGTTATTCCAGTTATCATAATAGCGGCCATCTCTTTAATAAAATACAGAAGTTTACATGATCTTCATCATGCTTTGTTAGGCTTTATGTTAAGTATCACATTAACACTAGCGGTGACCGATTTCTTTAAGGTAATCTTCCATTAACTAATTAACTTGTTAAGTATCCGTTATTAAATTCATACAACATACTAGACTTTTGCCGGACGTCCTCGACCAGATTTTATTAACAGGTGTGATCCGTTACCTGGATCTGTCGATGCTAAACCTTGGGGACTTAGCAATTCGAGTATCTGCCAACAAACAAATGATGCTATAATGAAAGATGGTTACAAAAGTTTTATATCTGGTCATTCTTCAGGTGAGTTATAATTTTTATAAATATATGAATATATTATCTTTAATGATATATATATTTACAATGTTCATTCATTTGATTAGCTTCATTTTCCGGATTAGGATATTTAACATTCTATTTTGCCGGGTTAGTTATATCTTACTCAAATCTTGTTAAAATTTTACTAATTTGATTCGTTGTTACATATCCACTAGTAAATTGAATATATTCGATAAAAAAGGGCATGTATATAAAACTATTGTGCTGCTTTGTCCGATAACCGTTGCGGCATACATTGCAGTCTCACGAACTGAAGATTATCGTCACCATTGGCAAGATGTTGTGACCGGTGGATTGATTGGTAAATAAATTCATTATACCTTTTATTACCTTTTCAACTATTTTTAATAACGTCACAACCAATTGTTATGCATTTTTAGGGTTTATTTTTTCATTTTTTACCTATCATCAATATTATCCTCCTTTGTATTCACCCATATCACATAGACCTTTATCAGTCCGACTAAAGCCTCATTCTCCACAACATCGAGCAGAGTTTACTTTTGATGACGGATCAACTTTCGAGATCAATGTTATTCGAAATGATGGTACTTCTGTTTTAAGAAACACAAAAACATTATTAGGTTCTACTAAGGATGATGATTATCCTCAAGAAGGATCTCATCAAATTGTATAATACAACTATTACAGTTTACACAATTTAATTCTTTATATTTTGAAATGTTTTCTTTAAGCGTATATAGTAACCCTAATTTTATGTATTTACCTATTTATAAAAGTATTTTATACATTTATTCTATGCAAAATGAATGATTAGACGGACCGGGGTTTTTTTTGATTTTATAAATAAAAAATATAATATATAAATTATATATATTATATAAAGTTATAATAGATAAAATAGCTTTTTCAATGGTAAAATCATATCCCCATCATATGATGTATATTTTTATAGGAATAAGGTTAGAATAAGATTAGAAATTGAAGGTTAAAAGGTAAGATTAGGATTAAGGCTTGGGTGAGGTTTTTTTTAAATGCTGTGCATTTTGCTTAGAGTATCAAGTATTAATTACCCAGCTAATGTTAAACATCATGGTAAAGCCATCGACTACCTGTAAAATAGGGCTCTTACCCGGGTCACGGGTCAAATTTTGATCTAACCCGGGTCAAACGGGTCAGAGCCCAAATTGATAAATTATTTCTTAAGTTACTTATTAAAATTGATATAATTGTATGTTTTAAATTTTAGTATTATATAAACATAAATGTAGGAGCCAGTGGCGCCCTTACTTACACTTGCTTCAGTTTCTCATCTTTTATTAGTTTCGTACACTTTAGTTTTGTCACCTTTCGTTAGTTTAGTCACCTTTCGCACCTTTCGTCATTTCATCATTTCATCATTTGAGATTTTAGTTGACGAAAGACAAAACTAGGTTTCACGCGAAACCTCAAGGTTTCATCTAACAACTATATGTTCAAGTCTTGGCAATTCACTTTATAATGATTGTCATTACTAA